TATGAATGAAGAATATCTTTAATTACCAAATTTAATATCTCTAAAACTATGGCAAATCAGCCGAAAAAAAAAAAAAGGAAACGAAAATGCAAAGACTAATGAGCCCCTAGATCAAGATGGCATGAAAAATGAAAAAAATAAATAAACCAAAAAACAAGAATTATAGATCTAACTAAAATCAAATGTCAGATTTCGACCACAGACCACATGTAGAAATATGACCTCATATGATCCTTTGTATATATATCTGGTCCGATATATATATATATATATATATATATATATATATATATATATATATATATATATATATATATATATATATATAGAGAGAGAGAGAGAGAGAGAGAGAGAGAGATAAAATAGAGAAGAAGTCACAATGTTACCAAAAAAGAAAAGAAGAAACAATTAGAATTCAAAAGCAAGCATAAACTTTGCAGGTTTCAAACCCTGGCCTATCCATATAAGAATAAGTAGTCTTACCATCCAAGTTAGATTAACTTCTATTTAAAACTTGGTATATTTATATTATCTATATAAGGACCTATATATATACAATATATATAGTATGGGGTGGGGGTGGGGGTGGGGGTGGGGGTGGGGGAGTGGGGGCAGTTGCCCCCACTGTGGGTCCGCCTCTATATATATATATATATATATATATATATATATATATATATATATATATATATATATATAGAGAGAGAGAGAGAGAGAGAGAGAGAGAGATCAAAGGTAATAGGCTTCAGGTAAAAGATGAGGTTTAATCTCAGCTCTTGATCTAATCAAAATCAATAGTCCAGATTGAAGAAAACTTAAAAAAAAAATGTGGTGGCAATTTGATCTTTTTGTGTCTAGGTCAAGCTTTAGGTGTGTGGTTTCCTTCTTAAAGTGCGTGGTTTTAGTGCTTTAAGGCGCATTAGTTTTTTAGTTGAGATTTGGTTTCCTTCTTAAAGTGCGTGGTTTTAGTGCTTTAAGGCGCATTAGTTTTTCAGTTGAGATTTTTTTTTTTTTTTTAATTTAATGTGCGTCGATCTAAAACGTTAAGTGCCTATTTTCCCTTAAAGCACAAGTGTCGATACACACAGGTGACAATTAATGGGAAGAGAGAGTAACGAAGATGAAGTGCAAGAACTTACTAGTGTAACCATTTGCACAGTCAGAGATGAAATGAAACTATAGCTAAATAGTTTCAAAGTGAACTATAACTTATAAGTGAAACTAAAAGCAGTTAAGCATGCCGGCCTCTGAATTCTGAAATGAAACATAACATTCTTGATGTATAGTATACCGCTTATTCAAAAGCATATTAAACTACTGAAATGCCAAATTGCCATCATGCATACAATAATTTTTGTAATTCTTAAGAAACCACCAGGATAAGGTAGCAGCTGTATAAGGGCAACAAGTGCAATGTGAAAATGTAAAAGAATACCAATACATACCTTCTGAACTGGCCAATAGTTGTCATATATAGGATAGTACATGTGGAAGTTGGCAAATTCATGAAACTAACTTTATATTTATTTTCTTGCAGACACTATGGCATAATAATTTAAAGGACATCAAATTTTCATGGATTCATACTCAAATAAGAAGAGACCGAGATGAGGTTTCTTATCATGGGATCGGGGGCATCCTCTTGTTTACACATGATCCAAGGAACACCGGTGTTGAGACCTACAACCATTTGTGCATATATATATATATATATATTTTATATAATCACAGTCAACAACCAAACTAAAGAGTAAGCACTATAATATGTTTGAGTGGTATTTATTTAGCAACCTAGTTAGGACGTGGGCACTACTTGTTCAGTAGCCCTGAGAAGAGGCACTACTTATCCAACAACTTTTGATTAAGGTGGGGGAATAGCTTGTTCAGCCACCCACAGAGGGTGGAACTACTTATTTAGCAGTCCATGCTTAATATTTCCTTTCCCACAAGTCTACTTTGGTGGAGTATACAACTTTTTGTACCAATATAATTTCCTCAAACGGTGACAATATTGATTTTATGTACATTGGTCAAATATGAACTCTAAAATAAATTTAAATAGTTCGTGAAAAATAATTTGGGAGAAAATGAAATAGACATGAGAATTTTTATGTGGAAATCATAAGGTAAAAACCATGGACTTTATTTTTTGGAAATAAATTCACACTATTTCAAGAAATTTTTTACATGTATGTTCTGTATAGAAGGCTCTAGAGTTTGTAGATATTTTATCAAAATTTTGGGAGAGTGTAAGAAGCTTTTGGTTACCGAGTTAATTCCATGGATTGGATTGCCATATATCTTTTTTTTCTTTTCTTTTCTTTTCTTTTTCTTTTTTCTTTTTTTTTTTGAAGAGGATTGCCATATATCTTTTGGAGATCATCTTCACTGAATTTATTGGGTAAATGCCATCAAGGGTAGACATTTACAAACCTTCCTTTACTATATAGTAAGGGGAGATGGGATCATGAGACTCATTTTACAGAGGCCTTCATATTGGGCAATGTACGTAAATATTAGACATCTCCCAATTTTTATATTTTACATTTTTAAATGTTTGGAATTATATTAATAAATTTACAAATATTAATAATAATTATTATTTATGAAAATAATTAAATAAAAATATATTAAAATTATGATATTATATCAATCAACATAAATTTATTTTCATTTAGTTGTTAAAATCTCTAAACATTTAGTGCAGGTGTCAAATGTTGTCTATTTAATCAATGAGTTAAGCCCATGCAATCTACAATAACTTTTTTTAAAAAATATATATAGAAAGTAATTTTCCCACCCGAATTTACTTTCTAAATCAGGAAATAAAAATTTAATTTACCATTTTGATTACAATTCTTGTATTACTGTGACATCTAAAAAGTTTTTGGCCAATATATATTATCCTCAATTTGTGGACTTCGAAAGGGGTTCACTATACTAGCAAATTGTGTTAAAATATTGACCAGCAGATAGATTATACTTGTTATTTAATTTGATAAAATTAATTGTAACTGTTAACATTTAACTTGTAAAAAGATTTATAAAGATATGCATATATTTTATAATAAAAATGTATTATTTATATAATAATGATATTTAATAAATAATAATAAATTAATTTTCAATTCATATAGAGATTTTAACAACTAAATGAAAATAAATTTATGTTTATTGATAATATAATAATTTTAATATTTTTTATTTAATTATTTTCATAAAAAATAATTTATTATTAATATTTATAAATTTATTAATATAAAAATTGGGAAATGTCTAATACTTACATTGCCCAATATGAAGGCCTCTGTCAAATGAGTCTCATGATCCCATCTCCTCTTACGGTCTTACCATAGTAAAGGAAGGTTTGTAAACGTCTATGTGTCACAACCCTTGATGGCATTGGCCCAAATGGCCCAACAAATTCAGTGACGATGAATGTGCAAAAGATATATGGCAATTCAATCCATGGAATTAACTCCATCAAGGTAATGTTAGAAGAAAATTAAGACAGTGGTTACACATTAAATGAATGAATGGGTGGTGATTATCCTATAATTAAGGAAAGCTAAACATTTGGTATTATTAGGAATCTACTACTATTTTGCATTATGTTTGATGTAGGCTTTTAGTCTTGTGTACTCACTATAAGACTTTAATCTTGTATATATATCTTGTACATTCCTATTATCAATAATATTCAGAATCTTGTTATAATTTGGTATCAGTTGCTTGGTTTTTCTTATGGCCGGTGACAATGACAATTTTGCTGGAGTTTGATTTTTCTTATGGCCGGTGACAATGATAGTTCAGTGACAATGACAGTTCTGCTGGAGTTTCTTTCGAGCGGACCGTGTTTGATGTCGTTGTTCAAACTCACAGCCTGTAACTACTTGTTTTGGAGAACTCAGTTAGTACCCTTCTTGCGAGGTCAAAATCTTTTGGGTTTTGTCGATGGATCTCTCCCATGTCTTACTGTAACTACTGTCACTGCTCCGTCGCTGGCGTCAACCTCTGCGGCTTCTTCTCCGGCGTTGGCGTCTCTTGCTTCTCTTTCGGTTGCTTTATGGATACAACAAGATCAAGCCATATTGTCCATGTTAATCTCCTCACTTTCAGAGGTGGTGATGCATCTCGCCGTTGGCAAGAATACATCGCGGTAGGTTTGGGTGTCCATTGAGTAGGCGCTTAGTTCCACGACTTGTGCTCGCACCCTCTGGTTGCTCGCTCAGCTCCAAGGTCTACGTCAAGGAGATGAATCTGTTGCAGAGGTGAAAGACTTAGTATTGGTTGACCGGCCGGTTAATATTGACGATTAGAACCTGTACACGGCGGACTGAGCCACTGAATTACCATGATGTTAGACCAGGATGTGGGATCGGAGGCCCTTAGGATTGGGAATTCAACATTTTCGGCAAGAAAAACAGTTATTGCTAATTCAATCAAATTTTTTATTTTTTTTTTTGCTCCATGCATTTAATTATTTAATTATATTTTAATCTCTAACAAAACTCAAAGCAATCAGTGCCTTAGATTTATCCCTAACCTTCTTTTGATCAATTGCATTCTAGTATATCTCATTTTTAGCAACTCACAATTTGGTGAGGAATTCTACAGGAGATCCACCAGGATTGATATCTAACTTAAAAGCATTGCAATCCTCAGAACAAAATAAAATGGTACACATATCGTTTTGGTAGAGTTTACATATACCGCATTGATATAGGCAAATTATAGCATCGACGAGTGTCTACCTTGCATTGTAGACCCTAGCCCATAACGATATTCAGATTATGTATCTGCAAACTGCAGTTAACATATTATGTGTGTATAGTTAACAAGGTGGACTTTGGTCCATGGTATAACAACCGCTTCATATAGGCGCCATGTTTTGTTTTAATATTTAGTGTTAGGTTGATGTGTATTAGTAGATAATTTACATATGTTGTTAGCGATAATATTAAATGATAGACACACATACATGTATAAAGTAAAGTTTGTTTGTTTGGAAAGAGAGGAAGTTTGAGAAGCAGTTGTCATTAGCATTGGGTCCTAATGGCTACATTTTATAAGGTTGTTAGATATTATAGGAAAGTATACTAACTGACTCTCTTGCATGTTCAACAAATTTGGCGCCTCTGATCTGGTGACATAATTTGTTCTGATCTGAGGATTAATATATGCAGTTTTGGTTAATTAGATATGAATCAATCAACCCTGGTGGATCTCCTCAAGAATTCCCTCACCAAATTTGAAAATGCTGAAGAATCATCTTCCAGCAGCCGAGCAGGAGAATCATATTCCAAAACTTTTCCTGCATCAAACAAATTTCTTAGCCCTTCTGTCTTCATATTTATTTAGTCAAAAAGTTCATTTGTGCTACAGAGTGTAACCCAGGTATTGAACACAGTGACTAAATCATCTCTAAGGGTAGGTAGGACAGTTGGCCTGAAGATTTAAGACTGCGCTACTCCATACCCAAAGCCAGCTGGCCTGGAGATATAAGGTTGATCCATGCCCAAAGCCAAGGAACAATCATTGACGTTTGGGTAAGGATGGATGAATCCCTCCTACTCAACCACTGTGCCACAGAGTGAGGGTAATTTAACTAGACCTATATATATATATATATATATATATATATATATATATATAAAGCACCTGAGCTACAAACTGAAGAAGCACTACATTTATTTTATCAGTCTGTTTTTGACACCCCTAGCCTGATGTTGCTTACCTTCATCAAGAACTAGAACCAGATCATTGTCAATGACAGTGGGTATCCGATGCGCAACTGTTATGACTGTGCACCCATCGGTTTCTTCTCTTATTGTTTTCTGAATCACGTTGTCTGTTGCTGTATCCACCGAAGCAGTCGCCTCATCAAGCACCAAAATTCTCTTTTTCTGTAGTAACACCCTAGCCAAACAAACAAGCTGCCTTTGACCTATGCTCCAGTTTTCTCCATCTTCTGCAACTGCACCATTCTCTAAAACTTTCAAAAAAACATTCATTGAATTGAAACAAACATAATATTATTGCATGTATACCTACCTGGAGCATCTAGGAGTCTGCAGTCCTGCCTTACTATCCCACCAAGATGGCATTTACGCAGAACCTGAAACCAAGTCGAGACAAGACAGCAAACAATGATCAAGTGGCATATATATTTCATGGTATATACCATGTTTTTTTCATTCGTAAATTTTACCTCCCAAATATCATAATCTGAGTGTTGTTGAAGGGGATCAAGGTTGGTCCTCACGGTTCCTTGAAACAAAGTTGGATCTTGTGGTATTATACTCAACCTAGACCTCAGATCTTGCAGACCAATCTTTGAAATATCTATTTCATCAATCTTGATGCATCCCTCTAATGGCTCTACAACCCGGAAGAGAGCTTGGATCAGTGTAGACTTCCCACTTCCTGTTCTTCCAACCACACCAATTTTCTTTCCCTCGGGAAAGGTACAGCTGATTCCTTTCAGAACTCTAGGGAGGTCAGGGCTATACTGCACATGCAGATTTTCGATTTGAATTCTTCCCTTCTCCGGCCAATCAGATTCTGGTCTGCTGTTTTCAATAATGAGTGGAGCTTCACTGGGTATTTTGGTGTACTGTAATATTCTTTCAACCGAAATCATTTTGTTCTCGACATTGCAAAGGTTCCATATAACCCAAGCTTGAAGAACATTTAGATTTAAGCCATATGTAGCAGCAAGTCCTGCCAAGCCTGCACCAACCATTATATTTATATAAGCCGTTATTGGTGTTACTTGAAATTGTTCCGGTTGGTGATTCACTTCACAGACTTCATTAAGTCTTTATATGCACAAGAATCAAGTTTTGTATAGTGATATGATATCATAATTGAACCCAAACCATATTTAGTTTATAAGGGGGGTACTTACTGGGGTCAATGGCTGATCTTGGAAGATTCACCAAAATGACAAGAAGAAAGAAAAAAGCAATGTTGAACAGGAAGTTGATTCGTAGGCAAAGCCATTCCATCGTAGCAGAGTTGAAAAATGCAACATGAGAGTAATCATCAATGAAACTCAAGTTACTTTTCAAGAATCGATCTTCCTGGTTGAAGCAACGAATTGTTGAAACCCCACCGATTGACTCTGAGAAGTGATGGAGAATTGGAGCTTTCAAAACGCAAACCATCCTAGCAAGTTCTCTAGCAGTGGTAATGTAATATGACTGCAATTCCAATTGTTATTGCATCATCATCTTATCCATCCATGAGTTTATAATATATAACCCGTACATTATTGTATTCTGTAATTGTATGATTCTCAGGTGTTTACCTGATACCACATGGAGACCGGAAGTATGATGAGGAAGAGGAAAAACACCTGCCAAGCAGCTTGGGACATGAGTACAATGATGCTCAGTAGTTGTATAAGAGCAAATACTAGTCCTGCCAATCTATACGGTATATCTGTGTCCACCGTGCTTTGATCTGTAGAGGACTGATAAATAACAATAGATAAAAGTTAGAACAAATTCAACTAGAAGTTCCAAAATTATGTTACTTCTGATCTGTATGTATACTAACACGATTGAGAATTCTGCTTGAAGGTGTAGAGTTGAAGAATGACATGGGTGCTCGGAAAACTGATTTAATCATCCCAGTAAAAAGCTGCTGAGAAGTCTCAATGGCAATGGTCGAAAGCAAAATTGCCCTGCCCAAGATAAAGATAGAGCTCCCTCCGGACAACAAGACAAAAATCCCAATCAATTTCTCTCTGGTAACCCCGTCTTGTTCCGTTCCCCATGCAATCCAGTAATTGCTCGCCATTTGCAACCCCTGGAAGAGAATCTGGCACAACAGGACCGGGGGAACAAGAGCTCCTTTATATGCAGAGGTGACAAAAGTGGAGTACACATTCCATTTAACTCGGCCCGATTCTGTCTCTTCGTGCTGAGTATTTTTTAACAGCTTATCGCTGCAGGTGAGTTCCTCACTTTCTTCTATCATTTCAATTAGGTTGTTTGTAGTGTGACACTTGTTTAAGCAGCACCGTTTAGAATTATCGACTTGATTCAGAGATTTTTTGTGTGCAGCAATGTGTCTAACAAGCTCACCGCTTGAGTCTGCTATCAGATTTTCATACTTTCCTGACTGAACTATCATACCATCTTTCATGACCTATACACAAAAATGCATCAATTTAAAGATAGCCTAGATCATAGATTATACAGTTCATATTTTGTCGAGGAAACTTACCAAAACAAGATCTGAGGCATCTAAAAATTCCAATTGGTGTGTGACATAAATAACAGTTTTGCTGTGTAAACTCTCCATCAGACATTTCTGCAAAATCATTTGCTGTTAGAAGGGGTATTGTAACTTGTAAAAGTCAAATGAAAACTGAATGATTAAGTAGAGCTTACTTGCCTTGAAGATATAAGCACCGGTTTTTGCATCAACTGCACTGAAAGGATCGTCTAGGAGATATATGTCTGCATCACTGTAAACTGCCCTTGCCAACTGAATTCTTTGCTTTTGTCCCCCACTTAGGTTAAGTCCTCTTTCTCCTACCACAGTAAGATCCCCATCAGCCCACATCTCAATATCACGTTTTAAAGCACACCGTTCCAAAACATCATGGTAATGACCTTTATCCATTTCCTTCCCAAACAACACATTCTCTCTGATAGTTCCTGTTTGAATCCAGGCACTTTGTGGTACTAGTGCTTTTGAACCATTTGTCTTGATACTCAGTCCACAGACCTTTGGAATCTCACCCATAATGCTGCTGAGTAAGCTTGATTTGCCCGAACCAACTGAACCGCAGATGGCTACTTTGCATCCTTTTCTGATTTTTATTTTCTCAGTTATCTTAATTGTGGATTTTTTCAGGTAATCACTTTCCCATGCATATTCTCCAGGCTCAATTTCAAGTGCTACTTCAGTTGCGTCGGAACCAAGATAGCCAATCAATTTCTTTTGGTCTTCCTCCCTGATGAAATCTTGAATCCTGTCAACCGAAACCTTTGTTTGAGCAATCACAGAAATCAGCTCGGGGAGATTGTAAATGGGCTCTTGCAGGATACGGAAAGTTGCTATAGCCGAAAGAACTGTGCCTGCTGTTAATGGTATTTTAAGCACAATACAAACACCAAAAGTCACAACAGAAACTAATGTTGGCGAAGCCCAAAAGAGGAAAGCCACAGCAGAACATGTATACAAGTACTCCCTTAACCAACGCCTCTCGGTTTTTCTTAGGTCAATCAACTTCCCCATGAATGTTGATTCCCATGAATGCAGTTTCAAGACTCTCATGTTCTTTAATGTTTCAGAAGTGGCTTTAACTCTCAAGTCTCGAGCTTCCATAATCTTAGTGTGTAGTTTTTCTTGCCTATTGGCAAGCGGCGTATTGCTCACCATCACAATAACTGTCGTGAAAAATGCAGCGATTGAGGGAGCAGCGCCCAAGTTCAAGTACAAAATTACCAAAGCAGAAATGACCTGAATGGGGAGCAACCAGATTCCATGAATGTTCCAGAAGAAGTCTCCAATCCTCTCAACATCCACATTGAGGAAATTAATGACTTTTCCATTGCTCATAGCGCCATGCTTGATCGTTAAAGACTTCTTGTATGTCAATGCCATGAGAGCAGCTCTGATTCTAATGCCTATTCGGTGAGCACCAAAATACCATTGTCTTTGGCACAATGATTCTATGGTTTTTGCAAAGAAGAACACAAATGCCAGAACTAATCCGCTGTGCCAGTTGTTTGAATCATCACATTTTTCTGACAAGAACTTTACGAAGCTTGTGATCAGCAAGAGACATATATAAGAAGCAATTGTGTTAACTCCTACAACATCAAATAACAGAACCAAGTGTTTTAAGAACAAGAAGTCTTAACTGGGAAAAAAAATGAAAAATGAAGAACTTAAAATTACCTGCAAAGACTGCATTTGCAGCAAGAGGCCACCAAACAGTATGGAGTATGGCACTTGGAAGTGAAGGAGTAAGAGTTTTCTGCACCCGAAGGGCATCTTCCAATAAAGATGAAGCGTGATCAGCCATATCAGATCGAGGAATTAAAGGTATGTGTTTTAGTGTCAGTTTTTCGTTACGCCCCTTCAAAAACAAAGGATTAAGCCACATGAACATAACTTGACTCCAGATCCCAGAACTCGAGAAAGGGTCATCAGGGCCATTGCGTTCTTTTTGAAGAAATGGCTGCTGAGCATCATTCTGCTTTGAGGTAGAAAACTTTGGAAACGCATGGAAACACAGTACAATTAACAGTGGCAGGGTAACTAAATCAATGATGGTAGTCTTCGGGATAAAGGATGGAGCTCTTATGTAATCATAAACGGTAAGAAGATGGAGAACGAGCAAAAGTAAATCAAATATCCCTGAAAAGACCCACCAGAGAATAAGCAACAATGGCCACCCGTTATCTCCTCTGAGGTTTTTGTTTAACGAATAGACAGATGCTATACTAGCTGCAATCCATGTCAAGGCCGAGATGAAGTAATCATCCACAGAAATGCTTCTATATATCCACAATTCATGAACACAAAATCCCAGGTAAGCCATTGCTATGATAAAGTTCAATACAACAGTAATCTTAGCAAAAATAGTTGGTTTTTCTTTCTGTCTAAAAACATTATCATCACCACTGCCTTGTCTCTTCTTCTGCCTCAAAACATCCACCAATAACCATACGATTAGCAGCACGAAAAATGCTGCTTTGATTAGCTTCACAGCAATGTCCATCTCTCTTCACAGGCCAAAACACATCAAACTTGAAAATCCTTAGTTCCTATTTCCTAACCTACCAAAAACCCAGAACGAGAAAAAGAAATTCACACACAGATAACAGATATTCTTGAAAACAAAACATTAAGACATACCATATCACATAAAAACAAAATATTTTAAAAACCCAAAATCACATATAATATAAGAAAGCACGTGAATGAAGAGGAATCAGAGAATATGATATTAGACTGCTGTAAAAGTATGGAACTTGTACAAAACAATACCCTCAAATTACTCACTAAGATTCTTTATTTAGAAGACAGATATCCCTATCCTTATGGAAGATACTATATTATATGAAATGTCAGTTTCAATTGGGGCCAGTATCTCAGAATGAAGACTGAGAATAGGTTAACACTATCCAATAATGTCTTCATGCATGTCTTCATCCTATTCCATGGAAAAATAAAATAAAACAAAATAAAAAAGTATTCACTAGAAGTATTCAAGTTCTCTCACCTTCAACAATGGCGGTACTGCTCTATACACAATGCACCAGTGTTAGCGGGAGGGAAGAGGGAAGAGGGAGAGGAATCAATCGATATGAAAACTGTAATTCTTAACGGAATTGAAAGAGAATATTATATAGTATGGGATATTGTGCAATAACTCCGCATTTATAGAGCGAATATAAAAACGAATGGAACGGAAAGGCGGTTTTGTGCTTCAAAAACACCTTTGAAACCCAGTCAGTATTTTACCTCTTTCTACATACAAAATTTTCAGCGAATGAAGCGTCGTTTCGCCATAGCATACACGATGGGCTGGGGTGAGTTGAGGGTATATGCTATGTATGTGCGTATACTGTGCAGTGTGGGTGTGTGTATATGTATATTAGTATATATAGCCATATATAGAGATAGAGAGATAGAGAGAGAGAGATGAAGTTGATGGGTTCGGCACTTAATATATTACAAAATATAATCTGTTTAATATGGAAATACGAACTAGAGCAAAGCGGCAAAGCCTATGCAGCCAAGAAATTGAGATAAGGGTAAACAAAAAGTGTTGGGTTTCCATAGCACTAAGCTAAAGAAAAACGTGGAGAGTGAAAGTTGGCGTGTGGGTTGTAAAGGCAAACCACTGTATATTTGTGCCATGCTCGTGGGCTATACTGTTGGGTGATGTTACAAAGAAAGCCTTCTTCCCGTGAGAATCTACAAACTTATATACACAATAAATATACAGAATCTCATATTCTAAGTACAGAATACACACAATTACCTACTGAAATAGTTTGTGTATATTTATGTTGACACTTTTATGTATTTATGTTGGTTCCCAGATTCTTCCCGGAGGAGGTGTTCTAATTTTATCAATAATCTATGTGTGTGAGAGAGAGATAACCATCCGTAAGTAATTACAAAAATGCATCCTGATAGGCATTATTTGTGAAAAAGGATCAAGGTTCGAAATTCAGCAGCAACAGTGTGAAGTGATGGATTTAAATAATTCGGGGTAATCCGAATTACTAAACCCGATAATAAAAAATAAATAAATAAAAGGAAAAAAGACAAGGAATATGTCGCGGAGACAATTCGTGTATTAATATAGTGTCTGTAGGAAGATTATAAGTAGATGTAATGTTTGGACATGTGATTAATTGCCTAATCAAGACAATAATGAAGGATTTTATACTAAGCTACCTCCCTACCGCCCAACAAGAATAGGGTGGGCGGTTGGATCGCCCTTTGACCGCATCCGCGCGTGCAGCCCTCGAGGCTCAGGGCACCCCGGACCGAGGTTGCCTCCAACCGAAGGCACCCCATGCCGAGGCCGTCTCTAGCCATGGACGGACTGGACCGAGGTCACCTCCAGCCGAGGTACTCCTAGTCGAGGTTGTCTCTATCCGAGGCCGCCCCAAGCCGAGGTTGCCTCCATTTGAGGCCGCCCCAAGCCAAGGTCGCCTCCCTCCGAGGCCGCCCCAAGCCGAGGTCGTCCTCCGATCACCTCTATTCCTCCTCGAGTTGGTTTGCTCCGAGCACGTTTCTAATATATCCATCATCAGTCCCCCACTCTCCGAGTTGCGAGTCTTCGTCAACGAAGGAGAGTATTCCGAAGCCGAAAGTCTACCTCAAACCCGCGAGAATAATTATTTGTTGCAACCCCTCTTTGTGCATCCCTGCATGTGACCGCCTCATCTCATGTTGGTGATGCCTCTTTAGAGGCACGTGACAGAGACCCCTCCTTGACTCCTCGCCTAGAGAACATTCACCTACCCGGTGCCATGGCCGACCTCATTTAGCACCCAGCTAGCATTGAGCAGCCCTAGCCGAGCTCCCTTCTAGAGGCTTAGATTAGTGTTCCAACAATTTCGCTATTATTTTGAACTCCTTGGTATTATGAATGAAGTGCATATCATTTGGGTTCCCCCTTGCTTCCTTCGTGTGTTTGCCTTGGATTGTTGGTCTCCCCGCTTTGTCTCGCATGTATGAAGTCATTATCTCGAACTTGGACCTTGTTTTGGCTCGAGGTCCCCTTAGCCGAATTCAACACATGTACATTCAAGAGGGTCGAGCTCAAGCTCGGCGTGGCCACCTTGAAGTGGCTGGATTCGAGTCCCCCACGCTCAACTTGGTTGAGTTGGCGCTTGACTCGGCCTTGGACCTAAGGAGGTCAGATTGAGCTCCGAGCTTGGTCTAACCTTGACCTAAGGAGGTCGGGTAGAGGTCGACGTCAACGTGGACCCCTCCCATGTCCAAGTTCCCCCCTTGGCGACGGCTTCTTCATATGCTGGTGCTACTCAGGAGGTGCCCGATAGGGAGCGCTCCACGACTCCTCGTCTAGAGGTCATCCACCTACCGAGTGACATGGACAACCTTACGCAGGCCTTTAGGAAGCCTTAGACTTAGACCTCCTTTGTAACACCCCTAATTTTAAAACATTTAAAAACTTATATAAATAACGCAATCCATCGTTAACATCCAAACAGAGCATAAACTATTCGTTAGAGTCGGGGTGCTATGCCACACCTAAGTTTGAGAACCTAGGTGCACAGGCTAAACTAACCAATACATAAAATCCATAAGTTCAAAATACAAGCCAAGGCACGCAGGCCAGCACCAGTACTAACTAAGCTAAGGCTACAAGTCCAACAAGCGCGCTCCTTAGCTACTGATCATCACCTGAAAAACATGTCGTAGAAACCGTCAGCGAATAATGCTGAGTAAACCCACTCTCACACATTAAGTACAATTAATATAAATATAGGAAATCATTTTGAAACTGGAATACATATATAATCCTGAGCAACTCTAGCTTTAAAACCAGGATCAAGACTCGAGACACCATCAATAAGGCAACATTTCGAATATTATAGAGATACTAGCATGCATCCAAAGTTTGCAAGGCATAATAGACAAGTAAGCTCATAAATAGCAATTAAAGGCAACAATGGGATCCAATGACAATCAATTAGCAAGTAATTATCAAAGCACACAATCCATCTTCCAACCTTATACCAAGTTCCAACCTTTACTCCTCTCCATCCTTATATCAGTTCCAACCTGTACCTCCAGGCCACCCTTATATCGCCTCCCTTATTCCTCCGGAGCACGCATGCCCAACACCGAAACCACCAACAAGTCCACAAACATGGTAGCACCGAAGTGCCATTCGCATGATCCGTGCCTATAGCACTATAATCAAGGGGTCAGCGCATATAGCTCTGACATGGCACCGCGGAGTTTATACCCTGATCCAAGCCTTTATCCAGCAAGCCTAAGGGGTGGTCCATGCCTTTAGCACGATAACCGAGCACTCGTTATGCTGTCTGCTAACAATTCATTTCCACCAATCATCTCATTATCATCGATCTCAACATCATTGCGCAATGATCACAATACCCATCATCATTCAATCAATCAATCATATAATCAACAATAACAATCAAGGTACAATAACAAACGACACATGCTACATACAAATTCCTAGAACGGTACTCAAAACATCATACGAGACTCATAAACATCAAACGGGGTACAACGGGACACGGGAAAACAACAAACAGGGAAAAATAGCCCACCGCACCACCACATTCCAGCGGGTGGGCGGCGGGTGGAGGACCACCCGCCGGTGGGCAGTCAAGTTTCCAGCGGGCGCCTGACGGTCAGGGCCGCGGGGGTTCGCTCCCCCCCCCCCCCCACTGGTACGAAGGTAAATATTCGGTTCGATGTTCGTTCGTGGAAGCCAAAACCATGTCCAAACACATTCCAACACGTATCAACAACAACACGGATTCGATTAACAAAGATTGAACCAAGAATCATTCCAATTACATTCTAACACGATTCCGAAACATGTCAAGACTCGACATCAATCACATAATGGTTCAAGTGCATCCGGAACCTCAAGAACATCAAGAAATCTATATGCAAAACCCTAAAGGCAAGTCCTAGACTAGAATCAACACCCAAACATGCATAAACCCACCCAAGAATACCAAGAACATCACAACACGAGATTCACGATATAAACCCTAGGGACAAGCTCTAGACATAATTAAATACAAGATCAAACTAATAACTACACAGGGTCATCAAGAATATCAAGAATAGCAATAATTCACCATATAAACCTAAAGGCAAGCTCTAACAAGATATACGTACAAAATCACACATTCAATCAACCAACGGAGCCAATCAATAAACTATAGCAAGGAAAATAGATTTTGTAAGACATGGGTTACCTCTTAGCCCTTAATCAAATTCCCTTGGCTACTAAGGTTCTTTTCTAAGATCTCCTCCCAATTGATTCTTCCTAGGCTTGATAGGGGGAATTCCTTTGCTAGATTACCTGAGGGAATATTTTGGGTGGCAGAGCTATTCGTGGTATGGTTTCTAAATGCTTTCTAATCCCCTATATATAGATTCGGGAGTCCTAACTAGAATCGGAATAGTAAAGGCCCACTTTCCCAATTCCTGACGGGATTAAAGCTGTGCTAGGGATAAGGATCCACGGTCCATTGTTAACCATATCAATTAATTAAAGGAATTCTAGTCCAATTAAATCCTTTTTAATTATATATTAACGGGATTAACTTCATAATTAATCCAGATTTGGAGGCCGTAACACGGGGTGTTACATCCTTTATGCTTAAGACGTTTGCTATGTACTTTGAACTCGTTAGCTTCGTGTATGAAACTTTTGATTTCTAAGCTCACCTTACTTCTTTCGTGCACTTTTCCTTGATGTGTCCTCGTCGTGGGCGAGCCCATGAGATGGCTTCCTTGATGTGTCCTCGTCGTGGGCGAGCCCATGAGATGGCTTCCTTGATGTGTCCTCATTTTGGGCCAGCTCATGAGATGACCTCCTTGATGCATCCTCGTCTTGGGCGAGCTCATGAGGTAGCATCCTTGTTGCGTTCTCGTCTTGTGCGAGCTCATGAGGTAGCCTCTTTGTTGCGTCCTCGTCTTGGGTGAGCTCATGAGATAGCCTCCTTGTTGCGTCCTCGCCTTGGTGAGCCCAAGAGGTAGCCACCCTCGCCATAGAGAGTTGGGCTCAAGATAGCCTCTAGCTGCCAACTCGTCTTAGGAGAGTTGGGCTCAACGTAGCTTTGGTCCCAGGCCGAGGTTTGGGTTCTACTTGGAGGTCGGACCTCCCACCATGGACAAACTTTGCAATTTGATTTTTTTTTGAGGTAGTCATGGTTGCTCAGTCAAGGGTACCCCTCGGCCCGAGCACCCTTCCGTCGGATAGCGAGTGAGGTCGGACCTCGTGCTTTCCTTAGGGTAGCCATTCGACTCCAAATCACCGGACTTGGGTCGCTATGCTCTTCCGTCTGGCGGCGAACAATGTCGGACCTTGTGCTCTCCTTAGGGTAGCCCTTCAACTCAAA